ACCAGACCCTTTTTGAGCAGAAGTCCCAAAGATGAGAAAGGAAGTCAAAGCAATTTCAGGGACTAAACTGCAAAGTAAAAGTTTTTCAGGGGCTTCAGTATAATCAAGGTCAGAGACTCCAGTAAAGCCTCGAAGGTCTAGAGAGAGAAAAGAGACTAGATATAGGCTAAAGGTTAAGTTAGAAGCCTCAAAGAGAGGATTATATGAAGTTAAGTCCAAGCAGGGACTAAACTGTAAATTCAAAAGGTTATGACCAGCAAGGGCAAAAATGGAAGAGTGTACAAAAAATTCCAAGAAAATCCCAAAAAATGGAAAATAATATTCTAAGACTCTTCTATGAAGAGAAAAGATGAAAATACCCCTGAGATAGTTTAAATGGAATTTATGAGGTTATGGCCAGTAAAAAGTACACTGTTTGAGGTAATTATTTAAAATAGTAAGAGACCTCAAAAATGTATGTAAAAATGAGGATTAATTGGTTGAAAGGTTATACTAATTTATAAAATTAGTCCCGTAACCAAAAGGCCAGTGGAATGGCTTTAATAAATTAAAGAGCAGATTATACCGATAAAAGGGTATTTTAGTAAATGATTTTTATACAAGGCTTAGAGGAAGTGTTATGGCCTGAGAAAATTCATAGATACTCTCTAGAATGAAAGGGAATTTATGGAGTAGATAGAAGAATTTTCTGAACCCTGGAAGGCCATAAAGAAAGTCGGAGAACTGTGGGTCAAGTAAAATAGGAGGAAACTTAAGGGCTAAGTTTAGATCCAACGGTTATGATCTAATCTTCTTTCTCCTCCACCATTTTTGCGACACGTGGCCTCTTCTAGAAGCATGATGCAAGGATGATGTAATAAGGTGATGCAATGATGACGCAAAAGTCCACTTGAACTTCCAAAATTTCCCTTACTCTTTCTTCTAGCTACCAAGGGCATTTTGGTCCATTCAAGCTAACTTTTTGGCTATAAATAGGCACTCTTCTCCCCCCCAATTCAGCCAAGCTAATGAACACTAGGGGAAACTCTGCTACCCTTGCATCTAGAGAGAGAAAGAGCTATTTTTAGTGAGAGAAAGTCACCTAAGTTCAAGCTTCAAGATCAAGGTATATGGTGGCTGTAGCATCTGATTTGATACCTATTTCGAATTAGTTACTATGCATATCTGATTTTTAAATTGTGCATACTTAAAGTACACTCTGTAAGCTTTAAATGCATGGGTAGAACACTTCATTTGGATATGTGTACGATTTATGGTGATTTTTCAAAATTAGGGTTTGAAATCTGGAAACAGTGTTGAACTTTTGGAAGAGTTTCGAGTTCCGTACAATTCCAGTACTTTTTGGCATAGAATTGGTTTCTGAAACTATTTTTCCTTTAAATTTAACTTAAGCAGATTTCAGTGAAACTTGAAAGCACTCAATTTGGATTTTTCTAGATTTAATTATGAATTTTCAAAGTTGAGCAAAAATTCTGGAGTTTCTGTGTGAACAGTACCCACGAACCAAAATTTCCAGATTTGGTATTCTTGAATCTAAGGCCATCTAAAGTGGTCCTAATTGACAAGAAATGATCTTAAGGATGGAAAATGATAAGATTTATATTAGAAAAGTTAGAAAGAAAACCCTAAGACTAAGAGAAAGGGTTGAGGTTCAAGAAAGCTAGTCTTGAACTTTATGTAATCTAATGGTCCTAATGGATTGTGTGATCATTATGGTTATGTTTAGGACCTTTGGAACATCCAAGAGGATGTTTGGTGATGTTGACCGAATGCCCACATGGTTGGAAAGTCAAGGGAGTCAAAGGAAAAGTAAGAGGAAAGCTTGAGGTGCAAGGTAGTGAACTTACCCTTTATGTGCTTGACATGGTATGCTCATGTGTTGGTTTGTATTTGTTGTTTGAATGATGTTGTGACATGATGATTGTTGCTGAAAATGCTGTTTTTAATATGTTCCCATGGCCATGCATTTTTATACCAAGCATAAAGCATGAGGGCATGTCACTAGTTAACTTAAGTTTATGAAAAACTACATACCATACACTAGCATCCATCTTGTGCATGTATGTGGTAATGTTTGCTACTGAGATTCCCACGAATCTTACCCCTTCGTAACCAACCATTTAGGTCAATCAATGATGGGCACTAATGGCATGAGAAGCAAGGAGAAGAAGTGGAGAATTATTGATGCTAATGATTGATACTAATATTCAATGTATAATTCTCCTATGTTATAATTATGTTGTGAATGCCATGTATTTAATTATAAAGCTTATGGCATGTAGAGGAATGTATGAGCATGAATGGGAAAAAGTAAGCCCATGTTAGGTATGCCAAAGAGATAAAAAGAATTAAAGTAAAGAGATGTTAAGGGATAAAACGTAGGTCATGAAGCAGTTAGATTCGAGCTTTAGTTTGACCTATCATATGAATGAGTTAAGCTACAAAATTTGGTATACTTATAGTGCACATCCCAAGCTTTAAAATTAGTGGTGAATCACCTCATTTGGATGTGTATACGAAGAGATATGAATTTTCAAAGTTAAGGTGTAGAATCTGGAAAGTCCAAATTTTACCAAACGAATAGTAATCTTAATCCAATAAACTGTACATTTTCAGTGAGGGTGAGTTCAGTTGAATATTTTTCCCTTAAAGACCATTGAAAGAGTGTTCTGTAGAATTTTAGAACACCTCTATACGATTTTTTTAGAATTAGTTATGATTTTGAAAAATGGACAGTGAACAGTAATTTTCCGAAAATTAACGTCCAAATTGAAATTTTTAAATGTAAGACCATCCAACATGGTCTGGAATGGTTCTGAATGAATGCTAAGGTACTATATAAGTAAGGTGTGACAAGGGCACTTAACAGGATCTCGAGAAATGGAGTCCTATTGCTTAAGATCCTGGACTTAAAGAGTACTTTAAGGTTTACCATTTTCAACTTAGTGATTTCTACTCCTATATAAATCAATTTCAAACTAAGATAGCCTGAGGACACTTTCAAGAGGATTCTATCATTGTTTAACTATCTGTTTTTCATCATTCCATTTCTTATATCCCTAAAATCTAAAAATATTTCAATCATTCAGTGGAATTCGCTCAATGTTTTCAGAAACCAAGACTCCTTTTTTTTATGTTCAGTTTGCATTACATGGCATTCAAGTTAGCTTAGGTCCATTTCATAGGCTCCAATCAAGTGAAACAACCTGGGGTTGCACCCTATAGTGCAATCCTTGGATAAAATTTTGACTTAACCTCCAAGGGCTAGAAAAGGTTGTGAATCAAGGACTAATCACTAACCTTGAATCTTAGTTGGAAGATCAAAGTAGCTTACTTTTCCCCTTGATTCTTCTTTAAAATCACTCTTTCTCTCCCTTTTTCTTCCTTGGTCGAAATGCATATCTGAAAATGGGGGAAGGAGAGCTCTCTTTTAATGCCAAAATATCTTATCTACCAATTTTAATGATATGCCAAGAGTCAACTCCCTACTTAGTTTTGTAATCTCTTTCTTAATTAGGTAAATCCAAATGTAATTAATTTCAAAAATCAAAGTCTTCTCCATTTAAGGCTTAACATCTGGCAACTTTAAATACTCTCCATTAAGGGCTTGGCAAGTGGCAAATTGTGAGCCAAAGAAGGTGCAAGACTCTAGTCTTCGCTTTATCAGTGCACTTTTACTCCGGGTTTAACTTCTTTTCTATAATTACAGTATTCTGCCTCTATAATTATTTTTGTCAGATCCATAATTCATCCTCCTTATTTTTCTCTTCCAAAATGCCCTCTTTAAATCAATCTCAATTTCCCATTAATTAAATAAAAAGGAAAACTATTTTCTTTCTCACTGATGATTTTTCCACTTGTCAAAAGAATTAAGAAAAATCTTGAATATTTGAGGGTCTCTTTTTAATCCCATAATCTCTTGTAATTCCTTGGGGTATCATAGAAATTTTTTTAGAATTTTATTCTCCTTAAAAATATTTATTTGGAATTTTCCAAATAAAAGGGCTTAAATTAGCCTAAATCATCCTTAAATTCTTTTGTGATTTTTCTAAGGGTAATTTAATCATAAAACTAATTATATATCATCATTTAATTCTCAAGGAATATTATCTCTATTTTTTATTAATTTTATGAGACTTGAAAATATTTTTTCATAATTATTTTTTACCAATTTTCCTTAATTAGTCAAACTTTCATAATTGACTTAGAAAATCATACTAATCATTTTCCACCATAATTCTTCTAATTCTCCTTGTCCTTTTTAGCCCTTAAATTTTTAGAAATACCCTTATTTCTAATTACCATATTGCTGGATGTGACACCAAGTTGCAACATGAAGGCAGTGAGGTCAGACATAGATTCACAGAGAGCCCTCTGACTCTCTAGATCCTATTTAACCTCAAATCTAAGCTTCTGTACCATTACCACTCATCAAAATAACTATCAAAACAACCCAACTTACTAATCCATCACTAGATTTTTCAACAACTCAATGCAAAACTTTTGGCAAGTTCAGCAAGAACTACCCACAACAAGGAGTAACCCAACAAAACAAATCACAACACCTCTTTTAAGCTCAAACCAAATTCCTCCCTCCCCCACACAACTTAAGGCAATGTCCTCATTGTAGCACACAGTCACATACCCAAACACAAAGCTCAAAAATAAAAACAACGAAGGTAGAAGTTGTGATGTCTAATTCGAGATTGAAGCACAACACATCATCCTTGTAGAGAGAAGAAAAGAGCTAAAGTGTAAGGATGGGTAAATTATAGAATGCAATTGAGTATATGTTGGTGATAGAGACAGAATCACAATCACATCAACACAGCATAACTAGGGGAGAATTATTCAAAACAAAAATAAATTAATGAAATTTAAATTTCTACTTCTACTAGATATATCCCTTTTATAACTCAAAACAGTCATATGCAAGATAATATCATCAAAAGTAAACAACATGTGAAAAGTAAAAGAGAATGGAAAGGGACGACTTAGCCTCATAGAGGTTGTGTGGGCTCTTTATAGAGTTTAAGAGGATGACCATTGCACTGGAACACCTTGCTCGTGGCCTCCTCCTTCGGCTCTATCATCCCAAAATCATGCACCTTAATCATGATATAGGGTCCATCCCAGCTTGTCTTGAATTTTCCCTCTTTGAATTTGAACCGGGCTTGGTACCTTAACACTTTGTCACCTTTCTTGAACCTCTTCTTGAGAATGTTGGCATCATGAATAAGCTTGGTCTTCTGCATGTAAATGTCAGAACTATGGTAGGCATCTAACTGCATCTCTTCTAGTTCTTGAATTTGAAGAAATCTATTTAGACCAACTTCCTCAAAATCAGCATTACAGCTCTTAACCGCCCAATACGATTGATACTCTAGTTCTACTGGTATATGACATGACTTTCCATAGATAATCTGGTATGGAGACATTCTAATTGGCATTTTATAGGCAGTGCAGTAGGCCTATAGTGTACCATCCAATCTCAAACTCTAGTCTTTGTTGGATGGCTTGACAATATGCTCCAAAATACACTTAATCTCTCTATTTGATACCTCAGCTAGGCCATTGGTTTAGGGGTTGTAACGTCCTAAGTTTTTATTGAGTTTTAGTAGCCTTTTAACTTTGACTTTTGGGATAGTTTAGTGTTTAAGCTTGAATCATGGTGTTGGTTTGGGACTAAGGTGAGTTGTAGGAGTAGGTGAACAATCCCTCTGGGATTAGTTCGTCGCTGTGAACTGAGGAGTTCAAGGAGAGTTTCTTCTCGGGAAGATTTCACCGCGGCTAAGTTAGAGGGACGCCGCGGTGAGGTTGTTCAGGTGAGCAAGATTTTGCCTCTTGGGTAGTTCTCGCTGCGGCGCCCCTTAACGTCGCCGCTGTAAAAATTAGAGATCACCATGGCAAAGTCGGGTTTCTAGGCAAGTAAATCCCTCTTGGGATTAGTTTACTATGATGAGGTTTTGGGTTCACTATAGCAAAAGGTCCGCTTGTATAAATTTGCAAGAGGGGGTTTGTTATGTGAAAATTTAAATTTCTGAAGGTGGGAGTTGGAGCTTTGCTAGGGTTTCAAATTTTTGAATTGGAGGAGGTATTTCTAAAGGTCTATTGCCTCAAGTAAATAATTTTAACCTCTAATCTACTCTTTCTCTTGGAATTTTTGAGGATTCTATAGTGAAACCTTAGAGCTTTTCTAGGTTTTATTGGAATTGAGTTTTTGACTGATTGTTTTGAGTTTAAATGATTGTTAGGGGCTAATCTAATTGTTTAATTGGTATATTTTTCTTGGGCTTGGAGATTTTGAAGTTTTGGGACTTAGGGTTTATAGAAAATAGAGGTTTATGATTAAGGATGATAATGTAGAGGTTGAATTTAAGTTTTATGATTTGGGCTTTGATAGTATGGGTTAAATTGAATATCTAATTGTTTTAGAATGTTATTAGGACTTAATTTGTTCTCTTTGGGCGTTTGGGTGTAAAATTCCTAGAGTGGGTCTTTGAAGTTTTTGCATCTAATTAATGTTGAACTAAAGTTCTAATGGACTCTTGTGGTTTTTGGGGTGTTGCTATGATTGTTTAGCCCTTTTGGGTTAGGTAGAGTTTTGGTGGAGGTTAGGAATTTTGTATCCCCAAGTGTTACTTTAACCACTTTATTAGTTTGATAACTAACACATGGTGGTTGTGTATTTATGTGCTTGTGTAGACTGGTTGTAAGTCTTATTGGTGCATGGGGCATCATTGGTGGTTTGTAAACCCTTACTCAGGCGAGAGGTGGCCACTTTCCAATTCTTTGTATATGCTACCATGGTATTGTGAGTAGTTTTGTTATTTTCTCACTTCGAGTAACAATTTATGATTGAAATGTGTTTTGTATATTGAAAGGAAAAATTTGTCTTATGGGGTTTTGTATGATGCTGAATCTTTCAGGAAATTTGGAAGTTACACCACCTATTGAAGTAGTTTTGAAATGTAGACTTACTCTTCGATAAAAATGCTTAAGCATGATTCATGTGTTTGGATGTAGTGAGAGACATGATTGATACTACCACGTGGTAAGGCCTCCTTTAATGCATGATGGTTGGCTTCTTATGTCCCTCATAGTGACAGATAGGCCTTTTAGGCTTCTTACATCCCCCAAAGTGAGGGATAGGCTTTTTAGGCTCCTTATGTCCCCTAAAGTGAGGGATAGACCGGGTTTAGCTCTTGAGAATCCCTTAAAGTGAGGGATATGGTTTATGGGTTGTATCACTACACTTACATGAGTTTTGTGGCTAACATTTATGAGATTACATGTTAATTGTGTAAAAACCCTCTACCTCAAGACATTTTAACTCATCATAAAACCTCTACTATGGTAGAAAAGGAGAGCTGTTAAAACGAGCTACCATAGTAGAAGGAAATTTTCATATTTTTAGAAATTGACTTTCAAGTTCGGGTCAACCCGTAAGACGTTGCATGCAACTAAAATAATCCATTCACAACTACTGGGCCTCCGAGCCTCCAGCCCGGGTAACACATACATCAAAATCAGCCCATCTAAATAGTTTTCAACCATATAATCCAGAGTTCATCAAACACTAGCAATGGCCTCCGGCCAACCAAAATAAGGAGATACAATCTCTCCAGTTTACATCAAGGCCGGGTAATCAATTATATAAAAAAAATAGTCCTAAATGTGGCAATATATACTAGTCATACATATACAAATGCTAGAGGCCTAAAGCTAACCAAGCTCAAGCCTCTGCGTCTCTTCCCGATGGCCCACGCCCGGAACCTTCACTTGAAAACATTGTAAACCACGGGGTGAGACAAAGTCCCAGTAACTAACCTTTCCAATACTAGGTACTACTAAATAGGTGCTCGTGAGGTGTCAAGTGGGGCAGTTCACAAATACTAAGATAACAAGATAGCCACAAAAAGTTATGCCAGTGCAATGATACAATCCCACTAACCAAATCCCTCACTTTTGGGGGATTTTCAAGAGCCGAAGCCGGCCTATCCCTCACTGTGGGGGACGTAAGGAGCCATAAAAGGCCTATCCCTCACTCTGGGGGACGTAGGGAGCCAAAAGGCCTATCCCTCACTATGGGGGACGTACTAAGCCAACCATCATGTATTAATGGAGGCCTTACCACGTGGTAGTAACTATCAAACTCTCACCAAATCCCAAATCATGCATCATGCTCAAATCATAATCAAAGAGTAATAATCATTTCACAATTAACCTCATTCAGTGGCATATCTTTCACAATTCCAAAAATTCATTCATCACTAGTCGAAGTCCCACAAGACGGTTTTCCTTTTTATACACAACATACAGTTTGAACATAATTACTACTTAGAGCACAAAACATAAATCTACTCACAATACCACAGAAGCAAGTACTAAGGATTGGAAAGTGGTTACCTCTCACCTGAGCAAGGAATAACAAACCAACGATGTGGCCCCGTGCACCACCAAGACTCACAACCAGTCTACACAAGCACACAAACACACAACCATCATATATTAGCTTTCAAACTAATAATGTGGCCAAAACAACACTTGGGGACACAAAATTCCTATCTCCCATCAAAACTCTACCCAACTCAAAGGGTATAACTATCAAGGCAACACTCCAAGGTCATACCAATCCATTAACACCTTAATTCCTTTCCAAACATCAATTAAGATTCACAACCTCAAGGACCCGCTATGGAATTCTACACCCAAACATCCCATTTGAGCAATTAAGGTTCCCAGAACAATTCTAAACCGATTAAACATCCAATTTAACCCTTCTTAACATAACCCAATTCACAAAACTCAAAATCAATCTCTACATTATCATCCTCAATCCCAAATCATCCAATTCCATAAACCCTAGCTCTAAAAATTCAAGATTCTTTAAATCCAAGGAAACTACACCGATTAAATACTTAAACTAACCCAATGCAATCAATTAAACTCAAAACAATCGGTCAAAAACCTTAGTTCCATCACAACCTAGAAAATCCTAGGGTTCCACCAAAAATCCTCATAAATTCCAAGGAATTTCAAGAAAGAAAGAAGATTAGAGGTTAAAATCACTTACTTGAGGTAATAGATCCTTAGAAATGTCTTTCCTAAGCCTCAAAACCGAAACCCTAGCAGAGCTCCTCTCTCCTCCTTCAAATTTTCTAATTTTCGCACAACTGAACCCTCCAGCGACTATATTTTTTAGGCGAATCGCAACCTTCGCCGCGGCGAACTAATCCCGAGAGGGATTACTCGCCTGAAAACCCGACTTCGCCGCGGCGAAAGCTTCCCGAGAGGAAACTCTCGCTCGCCCAGAAGAACTTCGCCGCGGCGTTGCCCTTACCTTCGCCGCGGCGAAACCTTCCTGAAAGGGAAGCCTCGCTCACTGAACAACTTCGCCGCGGCACCCCAAGAGGGTACGTTCACCTATTCCTCCAACAAACCTCAAATCCAACCCAAACACCAAGATCAAGATTAAATCACTAATCTATCCTCAAAATCAA